TTAAAGCCAAGTGTCTCATGCCTTGAACCTCTGTTATACTTAAGAAAATAAACTTAAAAAGACATTCATTATTCTTGAACTAAGCATTTCCCTACTAAGTCCCATCCTAGAACAACTTTTAACTGCTAATTTATCATCCTCCCTCCCAGTGACAGGGAAGATTTATAGTGGAAAAGGCTTATTTAACGTTACTCTGATGCCAAAAACACATGGTATTACACTTTTGGCAATACTGGTCAAGAAGCAACAACCAAGGAAAACAAACTGCTAAGAAATAAACCCCCCAAAAACCCCATTGCCATAATTGTAAGCTCTTGGCGCGGTTCCACTGGAATAAACTCCGATGGAATTCCAACTTGAAGGTTGTTTACAGCCGGAGGCCAAATGTCCCACTTCATCCTCTTGCAGCCACCTGCCTATCCCTTATCTCTGCCACAGCTCTGCTGTGCTTATCAGCACAAGGATCCCGCTCTGCCACAAGCAGACACATTCCAGAGCCCCACTGACCACTGGGGAACTGAACATGGCAAACATGTGGCATTAGGAGAAAGCCACTGTGAGTTCTTCCAACGCAGGGTCAAGCCCACTGACACAGGAAGATACATGAAGGACGAGGGAGCAGAAATGCCCCCTGCACGTGTAACTGCTGAAATCCAGAATGAACACATCGGCAGGATCAAGGTGGCAGTCATGGAGAGGTGGGAGGCCGACAGGGGCACTCTCACACAGAGTATCTACCTCAGACAGAGATTTAAATTAATGAAGTGGGGAAAAGGAGAAGAATGAACAGCCAAACCTCCAAAGCACAGGAGTTCATAGCAAAGAGGAACCTTCACCGCAGGCATCTGTCAAAAAAAAGAAGGAAGAAACAGGACACACGTTGCCCAACGAGTTCTCAGATATTTTGAGATTTTTTTTTTTTATATATAGGAGGGAGGAAGAAAAGAAAAAAAAAAGGGGGGGAATAAACCATGATAAAAGGAAGGGCTCTTCAAGTTTCATTCTAATCAAAGGGGAGGAACTGACTAAGAACATGAAAGTGGAAATAACCTGGCTGATAGAAGGCGTAAGAAGACAACTCTCACAATTCTTGAAAAGGGAAGACAGGGAGCCACAAAATGAAGAAAATGAACTCATGGTAAAATGCTAAAACCACAAGCTATCAGTAACCCAGAAGAAAAATATGAAGCTCTTCAATAATTCAAAATTCAAGGTATTTTGCACAAGTGCAAAGCAAATCACTGAAGGTCACCTCATTAAGTGAACAGCACAGTTAACAGAATACAAAAGGTTAAATCTTTAGGAAAGAAACTACCAGGAGGCAACACGAAAATATTCCTTCAGAATGCCTGCAGTGAAAGAAAGAGCAGTTGAAGCAGGAGCACATTAACCCACTATTCAGTGGGAAGGAAAATCTCTAACAGATGATGCCAAAGCACTTGGGGCATTTTCTGCATCAATCTCCACTCAGTAAGACGGATTAGCTGCCTAATGTAACTCATATCACAGCAGAAGGAGCAAAAGCACGAGCCAGAACTGGGAAATGCATTACGGCAACTGCTCCAAACCTCCCGAGCCAGCAAAGCCGAGGCTCTGAATTTTCCATGCAGATTTGTCGGGAAACTTCAAACAGAAAGCACGGTAAAGGCAATCTGCAACTGCAGACAACTTAATGAGCCTCCATAAACCTATGGATGTGTAGTCCATAAACCTGTGGACTATATCCAGGGGTTATATTAAGAGTACTTCAAGGTTTTCAGTTCTGGTAGGTGCAATATTTACCCTTTGAAAACTGACAAAGGCAGATCATCTCTGCTCTCTGCATTAAGTGCCAACAACCTACAGAAGGACAAAAGCACCTGCCTCTAAAGAGCAGGAAACCAAATACACAGGGAAAAACACAAACCAGAGTCAAGCTTACCATCAGCCCCTGGGAAGATGCCGAAATAATCACACAAATTACCTCTTTCGGATAACGAAACAGATAAGATTCCACACACAATTTCTTAGAAACAAATCACATCAAAGGAATATAATTCCCTGCAATGACACAGTAACAAAGTAGGTAGCAAAACAGCAATTCCAGGCAAAATAGTTTTGGTTTAACAGGACTTTTGACACCCTTAAACTGACAGTCACATACCTGAAACAAACGCAGAACACACTGAAGCACTGGGAGATGATCAGAACCCCACACCCAGAGATAAGCTGTCATTATTGCAGTCAGAGAGAAAATTGGTAGCAAGCCCATTCACATGGCTCTAATCTTTTCTCACTGTTACAGAAAGTAACCACTGGAAGAGGGTTATTCAGCAAGGAACTCACTGCAGGCAACTCCGTATTTTGCTTTGACTTGGTTTGATTTCTTTCTGTCACAAGAAAGATATCCCTGACAACATTTTGTCCACAAACTACACATTAGAAAATATCAGGGCAGTAACAGAGGACAGTTTCAAAAGCTTGGATGGAGGGACTCAGAACCCAAAGTCATTTGAATCAAGTGCAAAAGTCACCTGAAGTAACATGTTGTTTAACAGAGCAAAAACATAATGAGCTGTAGAACACAACATGGAAGGCAAAGTCAAATTCTGTTCTGCCCATGGATACGCTGGGTGCCAAAGTGCTAAAGAATCTGGGCTTATCCTGATAATAAATCAAATATGTCACTGCAAAAAAATAAAGACTCATCATCCCGCCTGTACAAAATGCATGTGAAATCATGTGAATCGTGTGAAAAGCACATGAAATAATTTTGACGCTGAATGATGGACTAAGGGACTCAGAAGGAACAGCACGTCCAGTTCCAGTAAAATGAAAACCAAGTGCAAAAAGGCCTCAAGAAAAACAGTGAGAACAACCCACAGATGTATTAAAAAATAATTTTCAAAAAAAATCACTCGAGAGGAGACTGAAGGAATGGGGTTTCTTCAGAATGGAAAACACCAAAACATGCAGTGCATTCCTACAGAAGAGGTGTAATCAAGAGTTCACAAGGTATACTTCATGTTAGAACTCTTAAATGTTTCAGTTACAAGTAAATGTAGACTGGAAATTAGGAGAAGTATTTTCAATGGTAAGAATAGCAAAGTATCAGAATGGATTGTCTAAGGATAAATCTCCATCAGAAACTTACTTTAGCTCACTTGCTTTGAGAACTAGTTAAACATTCCTTCCTTGTGCCTGAAATGCAATGAATTTATGGGAGAACAAATGTCAATTACCTCCCTTTTTCCCCTCCCTTCATTCACAGGTGGATCATCTGAGCTTCCAGCTTCTGGATTAGTTATTATGAGAATTTATAAACCATTACTAAGAAACAACTTCCAGCATGAAGGCTTCGTAATGTTGCATGGAAACAGTAATAAAACCATAACCGAAAGGAGGTATTGGAAGGAAAATGCAGGGGAAAAGTGACACACTTGAACCAGATCAAGATGGAGAGTCCTTAATTACAACAAAACCAAAGAAATGCAGAGATCCTACTCTGCAACGACAGAGGTGCAAACAACAAGAGCTGGGGGAAGCAGAGGCAGAACTGGTGCAGAAACAAGAAGCAAGGCAAGGATATCAACCCCAAACACGGTGTCAGCAGCTGCTCCCACCAAAGCACAAAACACCATTTTCTCAAGCAAAGCTCAGCTAAAAAAAAAAAAAAAAATAGTACCACTGAGAACCAAAGCAGGAAAGGAAACTGAGACATGCTGTCCTCTGCTGGAAGTGGCTCTGGATGAGCCGGAAAGCAGAAGATCATCAAGACCACAAGTCCTTTGTTTGTCAGTGAATACAAGATCGAGGCATCATTTTAAAACTGCTCTGCTTTGCCCAGACGTGGCTGTTGCCTTTTGAGCTCCAGTTAATGCTGCACTTGGACACAGAGAGCACAGCCCTGTCCCAAATGGACACTCCTGATGCCACCTCTCCTACACCACCGCCACCAGATCTGCTGCTGCTCTCCCACACCCTTCATGGCAACACATGTGCTTGTGTGGCCACAGAGAACAGGATCAGGGAACAGAATGGAAGGTAACACTTTTTTTTTTTCCCTAAGCCAATAAGATAAATCCCTTCTTGCAATTAATTTCCTTCATCCTGTTCACTTCCAGCACAGTATCAAGTCAAGCAAAAGCTTTCAGGCTGGGTCTTCTGAATGTAGTTCATATGTAGCTTAAAAAATATAAAAATACATCACAGGAAAGATGAAAAGACACAAAAACTGCAAACAAAAATAATAAGAAAAACAAACAAAAACAAACAAACCAAAAATTTAACAAAATAAAAACAAACAAACAAAACAACACAGCAGGGCTGCTACTGCAATATGAGGCTTCTAACATGAACAGCCAGAAAGGACGCAGAGTACAGCCTTCCAAACTTCCACATTAAGGATGATCTCCAGGTCTGAAAGGGAATGAGTTCAGACTATCTGTGACTTAAATCAGGTAGAGCCAGTGCTGGGAATTATCTAAGGCTTGAGTTTTGGTGGAAAAAAAAAAAAGGAGTGAACACGACCATCTGCACTGGTTCACAAGAGCGTTTTCTAACATTTAAAACGGCATCAAACTTTCAGTGCAGCATTCTTCATTCAGCAGAATTAACACGTTAAAAGGATAGGGAAAAAAAAAAAAAAAGGACGGGTTTTGTTGTGTGTTTCTTATGTTTCTCAACTACTCGAGCACAGCGATAAATACAAATAAGAAATGTTTAGGCCGATGAGAAATTTATTTTCCCCCGCGTCCCCGGCTTGGCACCCCGAAGCCCCGCGGGACAGGAGCCTGTCCCAGCCACACGCCGGCTCCCGTGCCCGCTGCCCCACGGGAATTTCGCTGCACAGAGGGAAGACCCGCACCGGACCCAGCCCGGGGGAGGAACCGACGGCACGAAGGGCCCGGGGCCGCCCCGCAGACACCGCTCGGAGCCGGCGGGGCCGGAGCCGCCCCCGCTCCCGGCCCGGCCAGGGAAGCGACCCCTCCCCGGGGCCCCCGCGGCCCGGCCGCACTCACAGCGTGTGCCCGCAGACGTTCACCATGAGCTTGAGCGAGGGGTTGCGGTACTTGGTGGTCTTGCAGCGCGGGCAGCCCAGGTCGTCCATGGCCGCCCCCGCCCCGCTCCCTCCGCCCGCCGCGCCTTCCGCCTTCCGGTGCGCCCGGCAAAGGGTCCCGCCGCCGCCCGGCGCCACCCCGCGCGTTCCGCGGCCCCGCCGGGCCGAGCGGGTGCGAGCGGGGCTGGAGCTGGGGCTGTGCCGGCCGCAGTGGGGGAGAAGGGGGCACTCGCCCGCGAGTAACCGACAAGGAATCGCTGAGTCGGTTGGGTTGTAAGAGACCTCCGGTATCCTCGAGTCCAACCTGTGCCCCAACATCACCGTGTCAAGCCGGACCGTGGCACTGAGTAATGCCACGTCCAGTCTCTCCTCAAACACCTCCAGGGACAGCGGCTCCACCGCCTCCCTGGGCAGCCCGTTTCGATGTCTATAATCGCCCTTTTTGTGAAAAAAGTCCTCCTGGTGTCCAACCTAAGTCTCCCCTGGCACAGCCTAATGATTCGTATCATCTTCTCATCCCGTCACTTGTTACCTGGGACAAGAGACCTACTCCTAGATGTGTACAATCTCCTTTCAGGTAGTTGTGGAGAGCGATAAGGTCACCCTTGAGCCTACTCTTCTCCGGGATAAGCGCCCCCCTAAGCAGCTCCTCATCACACTTGCGCTCCAGCCCCTTCCCCAGCTGCACCGAACACGCTCCAGCACCTCAACGACTTTATTGAAGCGAGGGGGCCCAGAAGCGGACACAGCGGGGTCCCCTCAGCCCCACCGTCTCGCAACCGAGGTGCCTCACCCCGGGGCAACCCCAGCACCGGGGTGGGGGAAGAATCTAAGGCCTGCCCCGTCCAGGGCGAGCCGCAGGTGCCGGACCCGCCGCCCGCCCGTGGGGGCTCCAGGTGGAGCCGTGAGGGGGGAGCGGCGCGGGGCGCGCGCCCGCTTGATTGACGGTTGCCCTGGAGACGGGCGTGGCCCCGCCCCCCCGGGCGCAGAGCGGCCCAATGGGCGGGCGCTGCCCGGGCAGCGGTGGGCGGGGCCACATAGTCTTGCGGCGGGTGCGGGAGCCGCGGCGGGGGGAGCGGCGGGAGCGCGGCCGGGACACAGCGCCGGTCCCGGATGGTCACTGCGGGGCCGCGGGGAAACCTGATCGGCTGCAGCGGGAGGAGGAGAGACAGATAGGGAAAGGGGGGAGAGGAGGAGAGAAGGGGACGCCGCGGGGGGAGGGAGGGAGAAGGAAGAGGGGGAAACAAAAAAAAAAAAAAGAAACGAAAAAGGAGGAAAAAAATAAAAGGAAAACTAAACCGAAACATGTCTTCTGCCTCCCCCGCCACGGACGACATCGTGATCGCGGTAGAGATCAAGGAGGAAAATGTGATGGAAATGCTCTCGGAAGCCCCCGAGGCGCCCGCGCCGCCGCCCCCTCCCGCCGCTGCCCCGTTCCCCATGGAGCATGCAGGCTCCGCCAGCGAGGAGGGAGCCGCGGAACAGGTACTGCTCCACACCGAACTCCTGGCCAGGAACCACCACGCTGCCTCCTCTCCCTCCTCTTCATCTTCCTCCTCCTCCTCCTCCTCCTCCTCCTCCTCCTCGCAGACCCCCCTGGCTTTCTCCCCGGACCACGTCGCCTGCGTGTGCGAGGCGCTGCAGCAAGGTGGGAACCTGGACCGCCTGGCCAGGTTCCTGTGGTCTTTGCCCCCGAGCGATCTGCTACGTGGCAACGAGAGCCTGATGAAAGCCCGGGCGCTGGTGGCTTTTCACCAGGGCATCTACGCCGAGCTCTACAGCATCCTGGAGAGCCACAACTTCGACTCCTCCAACCACCCGCTGCTGCAGGAGCTCTGGTACAAGGCTCGCTACACCGAGGCGGAGCGAGCTCGGGGCAGACCTTTGGGGGCGGTGGACAAGTATAGGCTCCGGAGGAAATACCCCCTGCCCAGGACCATCTGGGACGGCGAGGAGACGGTGTACTGCTTCAAGGAGAAGTCCCGCAACGCGCTCAAGGAGCTCTACAAGCAGAACCGGTACCCCTCGCCCGCCGAGAAGCGCAACCTGGCCAAGATCACCGGGCTGTCCCTCACCCAGGTCAGCAACTGGTTCAAGAACCGCAGGCAGCGGGACCGCAACCCTTCCGAGACCCAGTCCAAAAGGTGAGGGAAAACTTTTTCCTCCCCGCCCCCCTCTCCCGCCTGCCTTTCCCTCTCCCGGCTCTTTCTTCCCTTGCAAACATGGCGCTTACCTTCGGTGCGCCTCGTCCTCCCCTCCTTCCTCCTCCCCGCTCCCTCGCTCCCAACACACCCACCCGGCCCGGCCGTGCGAGGCGGCACGGGGAAAACTTCCCGGACCCGCCGCCCCGCGCTCCCGGGGCAGCTCCCGGGACGGGGGAGCCGCCGGGCGGGCTCCCGGGAGAACACGGGACGGGGGGTGTTTGTGTGTGTGTCCCCCCCCTCCGACTCCTTGTTTTTATTCAATTGTCGCGCCTGACAGAGTTAATCATTGACGGCCGGAGGACGCGCGGGGTCCCGGCGCTCCTTCTGTTTTGAAACCTGACTCGGGAGCGGGCCGGGCTCGGGTTTCAGCGAGGGAGCGGGGCCGGTTCCCGGGGCTCCCGGGCGGGAGAGCCGCCTCGGCCCGGCCCCGCTCCGCCCGCGGCTCGGGCTCGGCTCCCCCCGCCCCGCCGCGGGGGCGCGGGCAGGTGGAGGTGACCTTCCCCCTTCTCCCCCCGCCTTCCCCCCGGGAAGGGACGGGAAAGGGGGGAGAAGGGGGGGAGGAAGGGAGCGGGGAGGGAAAGGAGGGAAAGCGGCCGGCGGAGGGGGCCCCAAGGCATTTCTCAACCAAGGGCGCGATTGTGCCGCCGCGGCCCCTCTCCGCGGGACACATCAAAGGGCGAAGGGGGAGGGAGCGGGGAGGGGGGGAGCGACCGAAAAATGCAGCCGAGGGCGGACCAGTCAGCGAAAAATCCCCGGCGCAGCCCCGGGCGGAGGCACAAAGGCCGCCCCCCACCCCTCCGTCCCTCCCCCGGGCGCCGGGCACGGCCGGAGGTGCCTCCGGGGGCAGCGCGGGCCGGGGTCCCCCCCTTTCCCCGGGCCGGGGGCGGCGGGCAGAGCCTTCCCGGCCTTCCCTCACCTCCCAGCGCTTTGCCAAATGGCCGCGGCCGACTCTCACACGTGTGGACACCCCGCGCCGGGCAGCCCCCTCCGGCCGCCGGGGTGGAGGAATTTATTTACAACTCCATAACCCAAGTCTGTAAAGTTTCTCCTCGGCGAGTGTTTGGCTTGATGTGTTCTTTTCCAAGAAACCTTCCCCCTCCTCCTCCCTCCTCCCCCCCCAGTTTGGCTTGAATATTCGTTTAAAGTGCCTGGTAAAGGCAAAACACAGAAAAATAAACGTTCGTGGAAACTCTCACAAACTGTATTAAAGCCTTGGTGCAGAGATCCAGGCACGCCATGGTAATGCAATGTCATTTCTCCATCTTTTCCCATAGCGAGTCAGATGGGAACCCTAGCACAGAAGATGAATCCAGTAAGGGGCAGGAGGATTTATCTCCCCATCCACTGTCCAGCTCATCTGATGGCGTTACCAGTCTCAGCCTCCCCAGCCACATGGAGCCCGTCTACATGCAGCAGCTTGGAAACACTAAAATAGCCTTGAGCTCATCTGGTGTCTTGCTGAATGGAAACCTCGTGCCTGCCAGTACCTCTCCGGTCTTCCTCAATGGTAGCTCTTTTCTTCAGGGACCCAATGGTGTCATACTCAATGGACTCAGTGTGGGCACTTCGCAGACAGTTACCTTAAATTCGCCCAAAACCGCGTCAAGTGTTGTGAGCAACGGGGTGTCCATTACTGACATAATATCGTCATCATCAGAAGATGTTAAAGACTTCAAACTCCTTCAGGCTTCTGTCCCCAACGCCACAGCAGCCACATTCAGCCCTAGCAACATCCCAGTCTCTTTCCCGGGATTGATACCGAGCTCAGAGGTGAAAAGGGAAGGCGTAGAAACTGCTGCTTCCCAAGATGGAGGCTCTGTCGTTACTTTTACTGCTCCTGTCCAAATAAACCAGTATGGCATTGTCCAGATCCCCAATTCAGGAACAAATGGCCAGCTGCTGAACGGAAGCATTGGTTTTTCTTCTCTGCAGCTGCCTCCTGTTTCTGTGGCAGCTTCACAAGGTAAAAGTTTTGTCTCTTGCAGTAAGAGGTATGAGGAAAGAGTTGGAATCAGGCATACTTGGCATTTTAGAAGCTGTGGTCCTTTTCCTCCAAGGTACCAGGGTTGTATCTCTGCCATGGCCACACACAGAACATCAAATAATACCTTTTGTTTCCCTTTATAGTGGGTTATGCTCGTGGGCAGACCATTAGATGAGGTTGAGCTCTGCTAAGACCAGGGAAGGAGGTCTGGAGATTTACACTGCTTTCATCTCATGCTGTTCACAGAAGTCTGTGATACCAGTCTTCACAAATATCCGTAAATTTTACATGTTTCAGTAACACAAAATATTCCCTATTTGCCACTGAATTCTTCCAATGAGAAGGTTCATAAAAATGAAAATTGTGGCAGCTGGAAATTGTTACCGCTGTTGCTCTTGTGGTGGTTGTTTTGGTTTTTTTGGTTTTTTTAACCAAAGCATGTCATAAAAATACATATTAAATTACTGTAGACACAACAAGATCGAGCAGTTACACTTGTACATTCTCTGTTCTATAATTAAGAAAGATGAAACTTGAGGGAAGCAACAGAAGTAAGCAATAGCTCGTAGATGTAAAATGTGAGGGTATTCGGATAAAACTGCCCTCAGTCCAAGGGAAATATATCATCACAGGTTCACGTGCCAAGTGTGCAGGCTCCTCCCCGAGTTTGCTTTAGAGTTTGTCTTAACATACCGTAGACTGAAGATTGCAGCCAGGCAGGAAGAATCCCAGGGAGCATAAACCTAGTTCTGGATCCTTGTTTTGAAGCGGGTCAGTTAAAAAGCACAACTGAACATCTTTGTTACTCATTAGACACTTTATGTTTGGCTATGAAAATTATTAAATTGGAGTGAACCTCTTTAGTTTCAGGAG